TTCAATACTGGAAAACTAATTAGGTGTGAATGCAGATGCTGTTTCACATTAAGGATGTGGTAAAGAGATGATTAAAAGAACAAAAATCCTTCAACTCTTTCTGCAAATACAGTAAGTGGGTTAGGAGGAGAATCCTTAATGATGTTGAAGCTACACTCCCACTAACAGCTCAGACTGGAGTCCACTATCCTGGTCTTCTATGTTCACCATGAAATCAGTTCCCAACAGACCAAGATAGGATGTAAGTTACGTAGATGTTACCACACACACACACACACACACACACACACACACACACACACACACACACACACACACACACACACACACACACACACACACACACACACACACACACACACACACAGCACAGCACAGCACAGCACAGCACAGTGTAGGTCATAGTAAGGTTGATGGACAGAGAAAGCCCAGACAGGTGGCAGGCAGCCCAGTCTCTGGGCCTGCTGTGGGTGGGCGTCCATCCAGAGGTGCTAAACTCCCAGCCAGGCTCCCACAGCCTCACCTCGGTCAGGCTGAGTGGCGGGGTCGAGCTGAGGGCTCAGCTCTGGTTCGTCCTGCCTCAGCGTAGCAAAACAGTCTACATCTTCATAACACACATCTCATAAATCTTTACTGGTGTCATTTCCCCCATCGTTATATTTAAGAACTCCTGGTGAAGTCCTCAGGAGGAGACAAAAACATGGCATTCAGTACACACACACACACACACACACACACACACACACACACACACACACACACACACACACACGCACTTACAGGGACATGACAGAAGCTACAGAAGCTACAAACACAGAGGAAATGTCTCTGATATTTGACCAAACCTGACTTACACACATCTCAGAATAATTCTAAATCAACCTCCTTATCTCAATTTCAAAATAAAAGAATCATAAATAACAACAAATGACCACATTTAGAAAACACTGAAGTCGTCAAATTTTTTTTAATTGCTTTAGGAAGTTATCACAATGAGTCCCAGGAGATTTTCAGAAAACGACTGCATAATTTCAAAATATATTTTTTGGAAAAAAAAACCTCGAAAATAA